CCCCTGTACGTATAAAACCAAAAGAGACATTGTTATTCTTGCCATAAAAGGTTACCACGATAGATTACTTAAAAATGGTGCATTTTAGCAACACATGCATTTTCGTGGATTACCGTATTTATCCGGGTATAAGCCCAGGGTCTTGAACATGGAAAATTGCCAAAAAGAAGGGGTGGGCGTTTGCCAGGAGATCCTTGGCAAAAAAACGAAAATTCGCAAAAATTTACAATACGCAGATTGAACTGCGGCAGGGAATAGAATGGCAAATCACAGTCCCTCTATCACAGGGACTGTGGACAAATGAAAACATGCAACGAAAATAAATGAACAATATGCAACACTAGAAGTAAAACAAAATTAATGTACTGCTTATAATGTGACAAATAAACCAGAAATAATAAAAATCAACAGTGAGAAATCATTTAAATTAGGATTTTCCCGCCGACAAACACGCCCAATAAGCATGAACTCAAAATGAATTAAAATTTCAGGGGTTAAACTGCGTAAAATGATTTCCGGTCTCGACAAATTACGAATCAACCGTCATGCAAGATCAATAATAATCTACAAATTTACACAGTAAAAATTATAAAAATTCATAGCTGTTTAAAAAAACCTCTCAGATCTTTATTTGTACGTTCATTGCCATCTTCGTCAAACTCAAAACCCTCAAATGTCCAAGTTGGCGTCACTGTAGCCGTCGAACAAAATCCCTACAACTTATTCCTGAAGTTTGTCGATATCGTCCCACACAATTTGGACTTAGCACTTTTAATCCACGGATTTCGCAGTCTGTCAGCTTGGCACTTTTCATTCATGTCTAATCATAATAAGGAGACAAGAAAAATGGAGTCGCTCTGCTGCGATGGCACACGATGCTTTTGTTTACAGTCTGGCAATCATCTTTGACATTTATGCATATGCTTTACTGATTGGCTAAGAATGACATCACTACTAGTATTTCTTCATAAAGGTCAAATCGTGACATTGCTTTTTTATCAGACTCAACGCTTATTAATCACGGTGAAAGTTATCATTCAGCAAGTTCCGGCGGTTGGAATGTCTCACTATATGGGTATCGCGGTGGACTTGAAATAGGAAGTTTTTTTTTATCCAACGACAGAAGAATGTTTTCATGACGATGATGAAAGATGGTAAAAAAGTTGGCAGTCTTCGGCGTGACATTGCAAAATTGCTGACCCCAGTTATGGATTCACAAGGTGCTACAAAATATTTTATTAAGCCAAAATAACGTGATTTCAACCACTCTCCAGGTACGGGTTGCTACAATATTGCAACATTGGTTTCATTGTCGACGGCGCTAAAGCCGATCGAGTGCGACACTTGCGGCTCTCCTTTTACGATTTGCCTGAATTGTTTCTAAGTTAATAAGGAAGCACAACCCAAACGGCCGGCCATTTTTAGGGCCACGACATATTTTAAAAAGAGAACTACCGATTCTGCTTTAATATATATTTTTATAGACTTGCTGACTATTATGATTCAGAACGCGCTGCCCTGAAGGCAGAAAGCTGTCACAGCTATTTTGCGTTCACCCCTTGTTTTATGCAATTAACGTTTTTTATAAGTATCACGACAGTCTTCAAGAAAGTCAACTGTTAATTACAACCACAGTCAACGAATAGAAAATAGTTTTTTTTTTGTAGAAAAAGACCCTCTGGGCGTGTGCTCGGATATGACCTCAACTCCTTTATTGTGTCAAAGTGGGGGTTGGGCGTTTGCCCAGGCATGGGCTCTTACCCGGATAAGTACGGTAATTGTTTGATTATAAGCATACCTACCATATGACACCATATGCTTTCTCATTT